TCCATGCTCTTCTTGACTTTATTGTTTGTGCTGAGAAGTTTGCTGTGATTCTGATAGGTTTTCCTTTATAAGTGATCTGTCTTTTCTCTCTGACACCTTTTAATAATCTATTCTTGTGTTTTATTTCCGGGATGGTGATTATTATATGTCTGGGTGTAGTTTTATTTTGGTTATGACTATTTGGAGTTCTATATGCTTCACTGATCCTGATGTCGGTTTCTGATCTCATGCTTGGGAAATTTTCAGCTACTACTTCTCTAAATATCCTCTTGACATCCTTTATGTTGTCTCCTTCTTTTTCATTAGTCCCTATCATTCTTATGTTATTCTTCTTTGCATCGTCTTGCAGTTGTTGAATTGTTGTTTTCTGATTCCTTGTTATTTTTAAAAGATCTTTCCTTTCCTGTTCACTAGCTGCAATCCTGTCTTCAAGGTCTGCAATTCTATCTTCACTTTCATTAAGGTGGTTTTTACAACTTTCAGTGGATTTTTTTATTTCCTGTATATCTCTGTGCATCTGCATTATGTATTCTGTTTGTTTCTTATATTGCTTGTCTAGGGATTCTATCTTTTTGTTTAGTTCCTCCAATTTTTTATCTGTGTTTTCATTAGATATATTCAGAATCTCTTTCATTTCTTTTATCATTTCTTCTTTTACCTGGGAGATTATTTCGAGTTTGAATTCCTTTAAAGCTTCCTGGAGTTGCTTGTTAATTTCAGTAGCTATTGTGTCCGATATTTGAGGTGAATGGCATATATTTTCTTCTATATACATTGCTCCTAGGGTTTCTTGAGATGGACTGGAGGTTTGAGGTTGTAATTTGGTCTTTCGTTTTTTCATTTTCCTATATTTCTGTGTTTCAAGTGTTATTTGAAGCTTCCTCAGGATCTGTTGGAAATCCCCTTCTATGTTTGGAGCTACTGAGACTCTGGCACCACACTACCCCAAGCCACTGGGCCTGCAGAACCAATGGCCCTCCTCTGTCAGTTCAGAACTCTGCAGTTCCAGATAAGGTGGGCCTCAGGGAAACTGTGTGCCCACCTCCCCTTTGGAAGCTCCACAGTTCTCCAAGCGAAGCCAGGATGTGGAGGCAGATGTAGACACCTCATACACACCTCTCTACTTCACTGCACCCGGAAGCCTGGAGGGACCTGAACCGTCTGGGCTTTGGGCAGAGTGCACTGAGCACTCACCACAGGCTGCAGGGCCTCTGGAACTTGCGATGCTCCACTGCCCACTGAGACATCCACAGTCCTCCAGACACATGGGGAGGCTGATGCAGGTGCCCCAGATCTGCCCCGCCCCTCCTCTGCACAATGATGGTGAGGTGCAGGAGTCCCAAACAGGCTGGGCTCTGGGGATAGCGTGGGCCTGCCCACCCATTGGAAGCTCCACAGTTCTCCAAGTGCAGCCGGGATGGGGAGGCAGATGTAGAGGCCTCAAACCCACTTCTCCACGTCACTGCACCCGAAGCCTGGAGGGTCCCGAACTGTCTGGGATTTGGGCAGAGTGCGCTGAGCACTCACCACAGGCTGCAGTGCCTCTGGAACCTGCAATCCTTCCCTGCTTGCTGAGATATGCACAGTCCTCCAGACACACTGGGAGGCTGATGCAGATCTGCCCAGCCCCTCCTCTGCGCACCGATGGCTAGGTGTGGGAGTTCCAAACAGGCTTGGCTCTGGGGATAGCGTGGGCCCGCCCTGGCAATAAATCTAATATAGATGGCCTTGATACACCAACGAAAGGAAACACAGGCAGAGTAGATCAGGAGATAGGATCCATCGAGATGCTTTGAATAGGAAACATATTCAACCTGAAAGAGGGTTAATAAATCAAAAGTCAAAGATGAGAAAACGATGCTTTATGTGACAGGAAACCAGATAGAAATAGGGACAACTCATCCCAGTAGCTGCAGATAGGTTGGAAAGTCATGACACTTTTGTGCATTGGAGAACTACTCAGCTATAAGGAAGGAAAACCTTGAGGCATTAGTAGGTAAAGGAATACAGCTCAAGATCAACCTCAGGGGGAAAAAAACTTATCTATCTAAGTTTTACACTTAGATAGATAACAGACAAACCAAAGGAGCTAATGGGACCCCAAATATACAAAGCATCCTGAGAAAGGGAATGGGGAGGAACTATCTTAAAAAGGAAGGCAGAGGGCATTGTTAAAAGTGTATCAGGATTTAAAAGACACATTAGTCTTATTGTTCTGTTTAGTATGATTTTATTCTGTTCCGATCTGTCTACTCATACTAGATTTGAGGACAGCTATCCCAAAAATAGCAGGATATATTATAGTAACTATCTTTAATTTTCTATTAACTTAATCTGAATCCCTGTATTACTTGCATTGTTTTACTATGACTCATCTTATTTGAAGCTGGTTTGTTAGACTGCTCTTTTGTCTTGACTGATTTTATTTGAATTTGGTATGCTTGATAGTATCAAGTCTTAGAGTAGAGGCAACTACTCTGAAGATGACAAGATGTAATAAGATATCCATTCTGATTTGACTAACTGCTTTTGAAGTTCTACAATGTCTCCAATGTTGTGTTTTTATTAAAATTGCTATGTAATGCTATGTTCAATTATATTATGCCTGATGATATAGACAATTCTATAAATAACATCTTGTTATTAAAAATAACAAGAGACAGCATAATGACTACTGTAGATCACCCAATACTGTGGTTTTATATGTCTTTTTCTTTTCAGTTTTTCTGGGAATTTGTTTTGTTGTCTTGTTTTGATCTGTTTTTCCCTATAATACAGAAAGGTTAGGTATGCATGTAGAGATTCACACATGTGGAGAATTTCTAAACAGTTTATGGGAACAGATTATATAATGCACAATGTAATGAAAAGATATTCTGAAGAAGAAGAGACACTAAGAAAACCAGTGTTAATTCTGTAGCATTATTATATAAAATCTAGCAATACCATTATTCACTGTTCAGAGTGATATTAGTCTAGTTTTTTATGTTTAATTTCAACATACATAAAGATATAGACAGGTATATCAAAGAGAACTAGAGACATTATGGCAGCCATTGTTGACTTCCCTATTGTCTAGTCTTGAAGACCTAAAATGCCTTCATCATCCTGTTCTGATTAATTTAGTACTATATTGTTCAGTATGTATTCACTTTTTGTGAAGATGTGGACAACTATTTGGAAGAAAACAAGAGACAATGTGATAGATAGTGAAGCTCTCCAGTGGTCTTGCTTTGAAATCTGTGTTTCTTAAAATTGTTTCATTATGATCTATTTTGTTCTGTTTAATTCTACCCTCTTTAAAATAAAAAAATAAAAAAGAGAATACACTCTAAAAATGGGATAAAATGTTTGCAAAGGAAATATGAACAACTTCTAAACAAAATATACAAAGAACTGTTTAACTTCAGAAGAAAAGGAACACTTAATAACAAATAGCAAAAGATCTGAACAGATCTCCCATTGGAGGTGATATATAGATGGAAAATAAACAGTGAAAGAATGTCACATGTTACTAATTAATTTCAAATATTACACACCTTCCAGAATGGCAAAATTTCTGTACTTGACACCATCATATACTGGTAGAGCTCAGAACTTCGCGTGCATTGCTGGTGGGAATGTCATTTTGGTGAAAAGGCCACAAACCGTATGAATTCAATGGTACAACATTCTAGGTAGTATAAGTGAGGGAAGAGTAACAAATCAGTGGTTGCCAAGAATGTGTAGAGGAGGTGGGATAAACAGGCAGAGAAAGGAAAATATTTAAGACAGTGAAACCTTTCTGGACCATGTTCTAATTGTGGGGACCTGCCATTCCACTTTAGTGAATCCCCTAGAATGTGTAACACCAATTAAAAAACCTGTACAAACTGAGAATATTGATTGATTATTACATGTCAATGTGGATTCATCAGTTGAAGCAAATGTGTAATTGTGTTCAGGATACAGATAGGAGAGGTTGTTAGGGGAGGAAAGACATGGGAGGGTTCTCTGTTCTTTCTTGTAAAGTCTCCAGTGAAGAAACTGTTCCTGGAATAAACTCTGAGAGTGAAGTTTAACTTCTCTCATAGTACCAAGAAATGCTGCTGTTGAGTATTGTCCTTGCTACTCAAACTTCTTCACATCGAATTGTGGGTCCATAAAGCCCAAGGAGAACAGTTCTTGTGTATTTTTCCCAAAGACATTGCCAATACTGTGAATGCATTCTAATGTGTGAAATAATCAATTACTTATTAAATTTGTTAAATTAAATTGTTAATTGTTGAAAGAAAGAATAAGTAAATTGAGATTATGGTTTCTCTGATGTTGGAAATTCTTGAGAATGAATTACCATTGCAGCCCAGAAAGTGGGCACTTAGAATTCTAGAAGCCCTGAGAGAAACATGAACAGGGGGATGGAAATCTAAGTGCTGTGCTGAAACGAAGACTCACCAGAGCAGAGCAGGCTTCTGCACAGCACATGGCTTGTCGACCCCCGAAAGAACATTGCTACCAGAAGCAGGAAAACATCAGCCAGTGTAGGAGGATGGACTGTGGAAATTTTGCTAGGATGTAATAGATATCTCAATTTCCATTTGTTTTATAATTAGATAAATTAAGCCTGTCAGAAAAGAATTATTGTGCTTTAAAACATTTTGAAGTTCTCAGATTCATTTTTATTAAAATCATTTGACAAAAATAAGTCTACAAAAAGAATCCAAGGTCTCCTCTAATCTATTCCAAAGATAGAGTCCGGATCCATCTTGCGCCTCCACACATGGGGAAGCAGGAAAGGCCTCTGTACAGTACCTGACCCATTTGGACCGCAACTAAGACCCTGCTCCTGACCTCAGCTCCTGCCCACCAGAGCCTTGCTCAGATAGAACTGCCCACAGTAGTGCCCTGGATGTCTCAGCAAGGTCCAGGGACATTTCTTTCCATGACGTGATCAGCAGCCAGTGCAGGTCCCCAGGAGAAATATAAAACCCCAGCTTCAACAGGATGGAGGAAGCATGGGAATGGCATTCAGGCTGAAGGCAGATACACGGCTGGCAGGGTCCTGGCTGCGCCTGAGAGGGGCCAGGGCACTGGGCACCAGAGCAGTTATGGGCCCCAAGGCCACAGTGTTGCCCTTTGAAGCCATACCCCAGTACCTAGGCAATAAGTGGCTGAGAGTACTGCAGATCTGGAAGGATCAGGGCATTGAGGACATTCACCTGGAGATGCACCGGACCTTCCAGGAATTGGGACCTATTTTTAGGTAACTTCCTCTGTAGTCCCCTCCTGAGAATTCCCAAAGCTTTCTGTCCTGCCAGAGGCCAGGCCCTTGCCAAGACCTTTCTAGGCACATGGTACCAGCACAGCCCTGTAGGCCTGGGTGTCTCAGGAAGACAAGGCAGGAGCATTGTGGGATTCTGGCCTGAGGGGTTATCCTGGATACTGTGGCTCTTCATGAAGACAGAGCAAAGCAGGACTTATCGTGCAGAGGGCAGAAGGCAGAAGTGCTGAAGTGGGTGAGGGTCAGGATCACAGCAGGAGGGGCTTTCTGGGGACCAAAAGCTAGTCCAGGAGAAGGGAGAGGTTTGATGGGACTCAGTCTGCACTGCCTGTGCAGAAGTCCTCAGGAAGAATAGCATGTAGCCCAACTGACCATCGTGCATTGTCCCACAGGTATGATGTGGGAAGAAGACAGATGGTCTGTGTGATGCTGCCAGAGGATGCTGAGCGACTGCACAGGGCTGAGAGCCTGTATCCCTGCCGCATGCACCTGGAGCCCTGGATGGCCTACAGGGAGCACCGAGGGCAGAAGCCTGGCGTGTTCTTGCTGTGAGGAGCCAGTAGGGATGAAAAGGGAGGTGGGACTGGCAGCCCAGACAGAGAGAAGAGGCAGGAAGGAGCAGAGCCCATGGTACATATACCCTGGGCCATGTTGGGGTTGGTGGAGATAAGCATACTGGCAAGGAAAGATGAGGGCATTCTCTGGACTTTCTGGGGGTAGAGGAGCAAGCAATGACATGGTAGAGAAGTGTACCTTCATGGGGAGACCTCATGAGATGGCACCCACCCAGCCTTGGTGATATTTCTCACAGGTGGGTGACTCCCTTTCCCTTGACTCAGAGAAATGGCTTTGAGAAAGGAAGGCGTTGGACTAGCACCACAGCTAGCATATCCCAGAACGCAATGTCCAGGGGCTGCAGCTCCCCTCCAACTATTGTCCTCCAAATGATCAGGCACCATTTACTGTGTAGGAGAGCATCCTGGGATTAAGGGGGATGGGGATGGAGGAAGCAAGTGGGCCTTTGTGTTCGGAGTAAAGCTCTAAGTGGGCTGGTGGCACTGGGACTTGGAACCTTCCTGTGGAGAGAGAGGACACTTGGGTAGTTGAGCACAGGGAAGGTGGTGATTGGGGCAGAGCAAGAGGAGAGAGGTTGTTATTAGGGGACAGGAGGGTTAACAGGGAGAAGTCAGGGTGTAGGCAGTCACACCACTCTCTAAGGGAGTAAAATTTTCCTGGAATAGTAGGATTTAAGGAAATAAGTCTCTTGAACACAGTCTTGAAATGAGATGCAATTGATAGGGATGGAAGACCAAAGGGCAGGCCAAGGAGAAAGGTGGGCACATGAATGTGAAGGAATCAGTGAGAGAGAGAGAGAGAGAGAGAGAGAGAGAGAGAGAGAGAGAGAGAGAGAGAGACAGAGAGAGACAGAGAGACAGAGAGAGACAGAGAGACAGACAGAGAGACAGAGAGAGACAGAGAGACAGAGAGACAGAGGAAGGGAGAGGGAGAGAGGAAAAGGGAGACAGGAGGGGAGAGGGAGAGGGAAGGAGAGAGAGAGAGAGCCTGTGTGTGTGTATGTGTGTGCAAGTCTTGCATTTAAGTCCATGTATACAGTATATTTGCATTTGTCTGAGTTTTGTGTGTGTCTTCATAAATGTGTATTGCATACATATGTGTACCTAAACTATGTGTATACATATTCTGTGTGGACAAAGATGTGTCTATGTGCCTGTAATCATTGTGAATATTTGCAGGCATCATCCATAGAAGCAGGTATGAGTGTGGCTCAGAGTGCAAATGCCTGGCCACTACTGCCAGGAGAACCTCTGCCCGGCCCCCATGTTCTCTGGACAGTTGCTTGAGGATATTTGAGAAATTTGGAAGTTCTGAGAATTTCTGAGAGCTGAGATTTTGATCCTACCCAGCACAAGATGAGGATACTTTTGGATACAGGATGATGCTACTGATTTGCAGGCAGCAAGCTGCATAGGGAAGAACAGGAAGTCGGTCACTCACCCTTCCCCTTGGGCATGGTGTGGGCCAGGTGGGTAAAGCTTGACAGAGGGTTCACTTCTTCCCTCTATCTCTGGCCAGAGTTAGTAAAAGACATTTGTATGGAGGGTATGGGGCCTGAGAATTCACAAGAATGAGAGCAGTCAATTGTCATAGCATTTTCAGGTAGAGTCTGGGGTCTCATTTGGACTTCGGGGCCATTATCCCAGCACATGAAAGTCACTCTGAGAAGGGGGTGCAGCAGGACCTGTAGCAACCTGCCTCCGTGGATCTTTCATCTCCCCGTGCCACCTACTTCCTCTTAGGGACCAGGAAGATGGAGCTAGGTTTGACTCTAGTTCTGCTCTACCCTGCAGGAATGGGCCTGAATGGCGCTACAATCGACTGAGGCTGAACCCAAATGTGCTGTCCCCAAAAGCAGTGCAAAAGTTCCTCCCCATGGTGGACACAGTGGCAAGAGACTTCTCAGATGCTCTGAAGGAGAAGGTGCTACAGAGTGGCCAGGGGAGCCTGACCCTAGACATCCAGCCCAGCATCTTTAACTATACCATAGAAGGTGGGTTTCAGATTGTTCCCAATCCCAGGGCATGTGGGAGCAATGAGCAATGGGGTAGAGAAAGCTGGGACAGTGTCCTGAGGTCAGGACATCCATTAGCCAGCGATGCCATTCTCTCTGCAGCCAGCAACTTTGCACTTTTTGGAGAGCGACTGGGCCTCTTTGGTCACAACCCAAGCACAGACAGCCTGGACTTCACCCGTGCCCTACATGCCATGCTCAAATCTACTGGGAAGCTCATGTTTCTGCCCAGGAGTCTGTCCCGCTGGATGAGCAGCCAGGTGTGGAAGGAGCACTTTGAGGCCTGGGACTACATTTTTGACTATGGTGAGGCTCAGGGGCAGGAGAGTCCCCTACTTTCCCATATATCACCTGTTCCATTCCAAGTCACAAAGAGGTCACCTGATAGGATAATGGCATCTTAGGGTCTGGCGAGGTTAGCAGGAGACTTTGGTTGGCCTAGTCTGAAGATAATGGTGGAAGCACAGAGATTTGGAGGTGCCATGGGCAGCTGGGGAGGAATAGAAGAAGGAAGAGGTGGTCCCACCTCTGGGATCTGAAAATCTCTCCTTCCTCTCCTGTAGCTGACAGTTGGATCCAGAAGACCTATCAGAAGCTTGTTTGCAGTTACCCTCAGTACTACAGTGGCATCATGGCAGATCTGCTGTTGCAGGGGGACTTGTCAGTAAATGCCATCAAGGCCAACAGTATTGAACTCACAGCAGGGAGCGTGGACACGGTCAGCCCAACACCTGCCCATTCCTTTGAATGAAGCCAGGAGGTCTCCTGTGCATAGTCATCCAGGATCAGGGATCCCAGGCCTGGGCTTTCATACCAAGGGTAGAGGAAGCCAGCCATGGGCACATGAGTTCACAGTGGTCTCCTTATACTACCCTGTAGGGAGTGGAACATGCACAGAATTCCCAGGGCCTGAAGAGGTCCTCAGGGGACCATTTCTGTGACTTATACCAAAAAATGAACCACTCTGAAGATGCTGAGACTCCAGTCTCAGATGAGCACAGGGAGATGCATTTGACAGCACCAGAAATTACCAAGGGGGGAAGATATGTTTGTTGTCTGGGTTTAGGGAGTGGTGGGGCTGATTCAGGGTGATAGATTGAAGCCTTTGGGCACTCAGGCTAGAAAAGAATTGGAAGCAGATAGATGTGAGCTAGAGAGCCCACAGACTCCTGAAGGCTACCTGATGAGGCCCCACGCAGGATGTGGGTAGCAGAGCCTGCAGTGACATAGGAGGAGTATTGAGCTGGGATATAGGTACCTTTCTTTAAGGCCTCAAAGAGTGCATTCTGATGAGCATCAGAGTCCTGAAGTGCACTGATCAAGTCCAGCCCTGACCTTCTGAGTGCACTCATGGGAGGGTTTCCCTGGGTAGAACGGCATGGCAGTGTGAGGTCTGAGTCTTGCCCTCTGGCTCCTGCAGACGGCCTTCCCCTTGATGATGACACTCTTTGAGTTAGCCAGAAACTCCACCATGCAGCAGGCTCTGCACCAGGAAAGCGTGGCTGCTGAGCCCATCATCTCTGTGGATCCACAGAGGGCCACCACAGAATTACCCTTGCTGCGGGCAGCCCTCAAGGAGACCCTGAGGTAGGGCCCAGCTCAACTGTCTCTACCAACTTTCCCCTCTGCTTATGGGGTCTTGGGGACAGAAGTGGAGATATGAGCAGCTTTTCTTGGGAAATCATTGTGCCTCCACTCTTCTTTGTCCCTCAAACTGGGGATGCAGCCCTGTTTCTCTGGGATCCCACTTTAAAGTCCTGTGACCATTTTCCACATCCTCCTCGCCCTGCACTGCCCATGTGGAGGGAGATCTGGCTGAACTCAGCAGGTGCACAGAAGCCCACTGTCAAGATGAGGACTGACTTCCTTTCTGGGGGTCCTGTGTAAGGCTGTAGAGGAGAATGGAGGAAACTTGTTACAGGTGCTGCATCTCTTCTGGTCTCTTCCCCAGGCTGTACCCAGTTGGTCTTTTTTTGGAGAGAATACTGAGCTCAGACTTGGTGCTTCAGAATTATCACATCCCAGCTGGGGTGAGTGAGTTCCCATGGCTGCCAGCTGAAGCCTTTGGCAAGTTGCCCCTCAGTCAGCTGACACCCCTTCTCTGCACCTATCTGCAGACGTTGGTCCATTTGTATCTATACTCAATGGGTCGAAACCCTGCAATGTTCCTGAGTCCAGAGCTCTACAATCCTCAACGCTGGTTGGACAATAGACAGACCTTCCACCACCTGGCTTTTGGCTTTGGGGTGCGACAGTGTCTGGGGAGGCGTCTGGCAGAGGTGGAGATGCTGCTGCTTCTGCATCACGTGAGAGAGACTGGGCAGTGCCCTGGGATAGGGTGGGACCCTAGCCACGGTGCCCAGGTTGGGCTAAGGAATGGGGCAGGCCTTGGTAGAGGTTTGGCAAGGCATCAGGGGGAGGAGCCTTACACGGTTCCAGCACCAGCTTTTCCATACTTTCCACAGCAGTGCAGAATCCACGTGATGGGTGGGTCATGCTCTTGCAGAGCTGGACAGGGTGGGGCCCCGCAGAATAGGGTGGTACCTGGCAGGGAGGGTCTTGCAGTATGGATGGGTCTGCAGGGGAACACAGCCTGCTCCACCCCACAGCCTGGTGGCTGCCATTGGATGCTGCAGCAGGTTAGTTAAGACCTTGGTCCTGCTATAATTCCCACTTCTGTTCTAGATTTTGAAATCTTTCCACGTGGAGGCACCACTCCAAGAAGATGTGAAGTTTTCCTACCATTTTGTTCTGATGCCCACCTCCTTTCCCCTCCTTACTTTCCGCCCTGTCTTCTAGTCACACTTGCCCCCCAAAGTTCCCAGGCACACCACTGTCCCCTGTCACCATGATCCTTGGCCATCTTTCCCTTTACTCTGCAAGAGCCCTGTTTCCTCGCCACATGATCACATAGCTCCCTGCTCAAACAGTGCAGGCAAAGCCCTGTGGTATTGGGCTCCTCAGGCTGTTCAGCAAGGCCAGAGCAAAGCTCAGGAGTATCTTGGTGGCATGCCCTGGTTTTAGCCTCTTCCCAGCTCTACCCAGCTCAATGTCCTCCAACATTTCAGTGTTCCTTAGAACAGTGTCTTTTTCCTGAGCATTGTTATCAGCATACTCCTGTGGCCTTATGGGCCCTAAGACCACACCATTAATATCAGCCATATGTCTGTTTTTCATTTTTGTGAAATTAGCAAAGAAAATAGGTCTCAACTTGAGGTGTGGAGTTGTTGCGAGTGAACTGAAAAATTAGGAAAGTAATTGTGAATACTAGTGACAATTGTATGTAATCAAGAGGATGGAGTCACTGTGATGGTCAGAGATTCAGGTAGGAGGTCACACTGGAAACCTGGATGTGGTGGTGGGAGAGGTGATTGCTGGGTGACCTGTGTCTTCATGGAGGTGAATCACCAGCTGATATGAGGCAGGCATTTCCTGGGGAGAGCAGTGATTGCCCTGAATATTTAGGATGCAACAGTATGTGTGTTAATGTCTTGCAGATTTCTCTGGAGGTTTGAGAGTATTGGGGGAGTGTATTTGGGCAAAGGATAAGGATTTTATTAAGATCATGAGTATAGGGGATGAAAATCTTGGTGTCTCCCTGAAAATCATGTGTTGAGCTCCAAGTGTCCTAAGAATGTGATTGCAGAGATAGAACCTATGTCATGGCACTTGATTTGAAGTGAAGTGGCCAGGGTGAACCTCAATCCAGTATGACAGATGTCCTTATAAGAAGAGTAGTTTAGGTTACAAGCACACAAACAAACACCCATGAAGGTTCAGGGAGAAGAAAGCTGGGAAAAATTCAACCCTGTCTGTGTCTTCACTTCAGGCTTCTCATCTCTAGAGTGGTAAAAAAATAAATTTCTGTTGTTTAACCACCTAGTTTGTGACTGTTTATGAGGGTAATCAGAGAGAAACAATGCAACAGACTATGCAGGTGGCACACTGGGCACATCCAGCAGAATCCCTTATATCAGAGATGAATACAAGAAATTCTCTCCATCTGGTCTCTACTTTAGGAAGTCTGGCTATTGGGTTAGCTGGGGGTGTAAGTTTCAGTGTCCAGGGGAGAGTTGTGTCACCATAGGATGTGTCATTGCCTCCAGTGCTGACGTCTTGGACTGAGGTTTGCTGTCTGCTGTTGGTACAAGTATCCTCCAGACATCCATGCACTGAAGAATCAGTGTCTAGGACGTGACACTGTTGGTAGTTGGTGGATCCATTATGGGGCCAGGCCCTCATGGGGTGTGCTTGAATTGAAAAGCACATTGAATCTTGTCCCTCTGGTCCCTTCCTGCTTGCTTACTTGTTTTCTGGCTGCCACAAGCTGAGAAGTTTCTTCTGTCACATGCTCCAACCATGGTGTGCTGTCCCACCACAAACTCCTAACAGCAGGTGTGCTGGCTTTAAACTGAAACTGTGAGATAAAACCTTTCTTCCTTTTAAGTGGATCACCCCAAGCATTTTTTCAGTGATAGGGAAGCTGACTGATGTACTCTCTGAGGCAAGGTCTCCCCCTGCCATCAGCTTCTGTACCACCATGGCACACCTGGCATGTGAAATTGAGGTCTCTGTTTTCATAAACATCAACTTGCACTCATCTGGGTCTTGTGTGAATGAGTCTCTGCAGGATTACAGTGAGCCAGTGCTTGAAACTGCAGAAGGACCCTGTAGTTTGGCCTACACATTTGGGAAGATGCATAGTCCTTTTGCCTTAGTTGTAATCTGACTGGTGATGATCTTCCCATGGATGTCTTTGGACTGCACTAGCCAAAGTCAGTGGCTTGTGGACACAGCAGTTACAATATCCTCTGGATTCCACTGATAACATTTATTTTTTATTGGTTTTGGTGGTGGGTTAGCCAGTGGTCAACTTTTAACACCCAGCTGAACTGCATCTGTGGTGCTGGGTGTGGAAGGCCCACCTGAGGACTATTGCCAGTAGCATAAAAACGGAACTCAAGAAGATGTGGCTCTGTTGATTCTCCTGGAGAAGCTGGTTGCACTGGCTTTCCTGATATGAACTCAGCTGCTTTCACTGTTGGAGGACTCGGGGTTCTTGCTGTCATCAAAGATGACTGCAGTTCTCTTTTGGGGAGCTCTGGCTCTTACATGGAACAGGGCTTCCTGGTTCCAGTACATATCCCTCAGCCTGTTGACACAGATACTTTATCCCTCTGCCACAGACTTTCTATCTTCCACCATTGATCTTTGGGTCTTCCCAGTGAAGATCCTTGATACAGACCTGCATGAGACATTGTCATGTGACTCTAGGTCTTCAGCTGGACTTGTGTAGGAAATTTCCATGGGATCTAGGCTCTCAGTTGTATTCTCTGAGTCTCTAATGTGTGAAGAGATCTCCTTCAGTTTTTTACATTTGAGTCTTTGGGTGAGTATTGTAAAATTATCCTATAAATAGTGTGTTCTATATTAAATTTATTCCCTCATAAAACTCTGACCACAACAATTTTGATAGAACACCATATTTTGATTTCCTATTGTGTGAGCAGATGCCTGGCCCATGCAGTTGTGAAAGTTTAATGGCTTCCAGGACAGTATGCACCATCTCTGCATCTTTGGTCCTCATACAGTGGAGACAAAATGTGTGACGGTATGAGAGTGTGATAGTCAGGTTTCTGTCATTGTGACAAAATACTTAAAATAATGCCTAGAAGAGGTTCTGCTCATGGTTTCAGAAATTTTCACCAGTGGTCAGCTGGTGTGACAGAAACAACACAGTGCAAGGGCTAGGAGAAGTAAAGCTGCTTTCCATGATGGAGGGAGAGAGGGGAAGATGGGGGAGAGAGAGAGAGAGAAAGAGAGAGAGAGACAGAGAGAGAGAGAGAGAGAGAGAGAGAGACAGAGAGACAGAGACAGAGAGACAGAGACAGAGAATAGAGACAAAAAAACACCTTCACAGGCCTCCCCTCAGTGATATGCTCCCTCTGATAAATCCCTGCCTCCTAGAGTTTCTGTTGCCTCCCAAAGTCCATCACACCATGCACTCATCGATGTGCTAATTGATTGGGAGGTCAGACTCTGCAATACCTTACCCCAAACCCCACCTCTGAACATTGTTGCACTAGGTACCGCTGGGGATATTTCAGACCCAAAGCCTGATTTTCTTCCTTGAATGCCAAAGGCTCTTTCCCAGCTCATAATAAAAAAAATGCATTTTTGCCCTCTCCAAGTGTCCCAATGTGACATAAGGAAGGTGTCACTATCGAAGTCAGATTTATCAGAAAATCACTCTGGATAGTGAGATATGCATCTAATCAAGAAATTATCTTAGAGAAACATTCAGGCATTACCAAGATTTTTCTTGACAACAGAGCTGTAGAGCACATACCAAAAACAAAACAAAACAAAAAAAACCCCACCAAAACAAAACAAAAATGAAATGTTTAATTGTGTTATAATTTTATTCCTTTTGAGAAAAATGTCTGGTAAACTATAAGATCTAAGATGTAGTTAAGAACTGTTTTAAGGACAGAAAGAAGAGAGGAAAAGATTATATGTATATAGGTATACGCATATATATGTATGTATGCATATATATACAAGATAGATAGCTATACTATTAATGTCTGTTAGTTCATCCAAAAGATCAGTTTGTGCTTTCATTGTTTGATCATTTTTTCCATACCTAAATCCTGTAATGAAAACAGTTACTTCTAAGATAACAATATGCAAATATTAATTAGTGTTGGTTTCCTACTATTTTTTGAAATTCTATAGCATTTCTTTTTTTCTGTTTTGCTTTTTCAAAATAAAAAGAATTGTTTTATGAAATCTGTATTGCAATTTTTGAAAAAATAAAAACTGATGTGCTTTATTAAAAAAAGAAAATGTAAAAGAAAAAAAGAGTCTGCAAAGTCTTGAAGTTTCCAGCATTTCTCAAAAGGGGAAGTCCAGTCTTCCTCTGAACATCAGGAATTCATCTGTGAGCTCTATGAAATTTCATGAGCAAGTTATATATTTCCAATATACAGTAAGTCCCCAACTTAGGAGCAAGTTCCATTCTAGAACATTCATACTATGAATACATTTGTAAGTCTGACAAAATATACAAATATGAAACAAATATACAGCTCGCACTGGCACAGCCAGGGAACTCCATGGCTTCCTGCTGCACTGGACCAGCTCAGCGGGTCTTTACCTAACCTGCACCAAATTCCCATTTCTTGCCATGCTTGGCAGACTCTGGGGTCTTGGGCCTGCTGGTGTCCTCAATTCCGGAGGCTGGGCAGCTGGAGGTGAGTGTCCCTGCATCATTCAAAACCCTGGAGTTGTTCCGGGAGAACATGACGGACAGATAGCAGCAGCTTCGGAGGCTCTCTGAGACACTACACTTAAAATCCAGGAATGGTGCCAGGTGAGAAATCCTAAGCAAAGGGAGATATACTTTGCTGACCCAGGAACGAACTAAATTAAGAGAAACCAACTGGAAACACAATCCCGGTGATATAACAGGAACAGATAAGGTCTCAGCGTGGAAGCTGAACCCTGTGCCAATGGAACCGTGATTTGAATTTCCTGCAGCTGCTGCTGCATCCTAATCAGCACAGCAAGGTGAGAAGTGCAAAAGCTCTGAGAGTGGGAAGCAGTGAGACTGTCCGGGAGCCCTGCATCAACCTGCAGTGAGTGAGCAGAATGGGAACCCTTCCATTAGAGTAGGAGGCTTCAGCAAAGGACATACTGGGACTGGGCAGACTAGCCAGAACAGGTTGTTGCAGTGACTTCAGTCATATATTCCCCTCTCAAGCGGGATTGGTGGGCAGTGCCTGGCCTTTGTGACACCACTGACTAACACCCAGTAGGTTAGCCCAAACCAGATCCCAGCACCTGGAGGTGCACCCTAGCAGTGAAGCCTTCAGTAGGTTGATCTGGAGGGGCGGGCCCAGCATAGGCTGCCCAGGTTTCTGTCTCCCTTGTACACTGCAGTGGGTGGGAACACCTAGCCAGTGCAATTCAAACAAACTGTAACCGACAAAGAAAGAAATTGGGCCTCCTATATTCGCTTGTATAAAAGCAACAAAAATATGGGATGAGGGAGCAACAAGAAAGGGTCCTTGGCCCCCAATCCCGAGAAACATGCAATATCAGACACGGCACCAGTAGACATAAAGCGCTATCTCCAGAGCCTCATAGATGAGTTAAGGAATGAAGTTATTAATGACCCGATGCAAGATATAAGTAGAATAGTTAAAGAAATGCTAAACACTGCCCAAGAAAAAACAGATGGTGGAATGAAAGAACAGAAAAAAGGGGAGAATTGTTTGATGGAGAAAATAGAGAAAACATAGAATACATGAAGCAGGTTCAAAGAGATTACCAGGAAACTAAAAACTCTACGAAAACTGGCATAACAGCTTGAAAGAAACTAAGGATAAATTATCTGAACTGGAGGGCAGATTTGTAATATGGGAGCATGAAATGAAAAACTTCTTAAAAATAACAAAAAACCAAATAGCAACAATACAAAGGTTAGAAGATGATAAGAGGATCTATAACTTAAGAATTAAGAACATAAAAGAAGAAGTAGGGACACAAACAAATGGATTACAAAAGCCATTCACAGAAATAATCCAAGAGAATTTCTCTAACCTAGCAAATGGTAAAAATACTCAGACCTATGAGGCGTACAGGACCCCAGCCACCTACAACCCAAACAGAGCTACACTCAGGCATATAATAATCAAAATTCCAGAAATCCAATATAAGAACAGAATACTAAAAGCCATCAAAGACAAGAAACAGATCACTTACAAGGGAACACCCATCAGAATTACAGCAGACTTCTCGGCACAAACCGTCAAATCATGAAGAGTGTGGGGGGAAATAATTCAAGCTTTGAAAGATAATAACCTCCAGCCAA